TGTTTTACTGTATTTAAACACAAATATTACATATAATGCCTTTTTTATATTTAATCTATCTACAGTGGGGAGCCAAAGTTTAAATACACTTGTTAATAGCATTGCAATCTTGATTCCAGGGACTCCTATAACTCTTAATTTTCTATGACAGAATAAGTAAATTTTATATAAAGAAGAGGTTTTATTGTCATTGTACAAGAAATATTATGAAATTTCATTTGGCATTATCTTCGCAGCAGCTAATATAGTCACAAGTTGAAAAAAACAAAAAGTTAAAAGATGATATAAGTAATAATATTGCAATAAAATATAAAATAAATACTCTATAATAGGAATTATAGATATTTTATATAGGTTTTATTCAGAGTTTCTTTCATTTATGTTTTCTGTTTACATCTTTTTAATGATTTTTTTTAACCTACTTATTATTTTTACATATATATTCCCTATTTTCTCTCGTAATTTTATTCTCATGTGCACTGTCTAAGTCTGCAACACAAAGGAACGATCAAACATGTTGGTTAAATACAAAATGCAGGATTATATTTTTTCTGTTTCTGGACAAAGACGCACGAGTTTCCATCTTTGGCTTCTTCACGGAACTTCAGCTCATCAGGCTCCATGTACTGAGTGATGGATACAAACCCAACCTCCACTCAGCCTTTACCTCCCAACCACCGGGGGATGGCGCTGTCGAGCTTCCCACGCCCTCCCTCCATCCCTCCCCTCCCTCCTGCCCGCCCGCCCGCTGCCACCAGTGCCGGGGCGCACGGCGCTGGAGGCGGTGTGTTGCTCTTTATTGTTCCAGCAGAAAGCTCAGTGCGCGGCTTGCCCACATTTGTTTCAATGGCTGCCGCGCACAAACCCACCTGAGAGGGAGCGGTTTCAGCTGGAGGATCCACCGAACCCGAAGTAGCACCGCGCCGTGCGTGTGGAGGAATAAAGGAGCTCTTTTACTGACGGACAATCTGTGGATCCTGGAGGAAGAGGGGGGTAAGGAAATCACGCTATCCGGATTATGGAGCGAGGGTTACACGTCGCCTTTTCTGCTTTTCCGCGTATTGCGCACACTTGCCTGTAGATTTCTCCGGTCTGATTGCAGCGTGCGCACCGGTTTTTGGATAATCAACGCCTTTGCTTCTTAAGGCAACAGTGCGTAAAGCTCGATGAGCCCGATATCCAGAGTATTAAGCTCGCTTCGATTGCAACCAGCCTGTTCGTTTTCCTAATCGGCTGAGCTTTAGGAGGTTCCAGCAGGGCTTCTTTTACTGTAAGCTTAAGGACGCACAAGGATTCTCCAATCAGAGGCTCTACGTTTTCAGAAAAAGGTTCTAGTTTTAGTTGCTTTATCTGTTTTTTGTTTGTTTTTCTTTAGATACCTGCTTTTCCCCTGTCTTGTTCAGTTTTGTTTTAATACCACATTTCCAGGAAAAAACAGCCTGAGCTGCTCATTATCAAAAGTCAGCACACACACACACATATATATATATATACACACACACATGCACACAGCAGCCAGTCACTGAGCAGGCTGCCTTAGCCTACTGACATCTTTGCTGTGGCCTAAAGGATTACTCTGCTAACCTACATTCTAGCTCTTGCACTTTGCCAACTGTACTGTAACTCTAAAATGCGTGGAGATTTAAATGTAGGAGAAAGGTTCCCAACAATGTGGAAAAAAACCTGCCATCGTGTTCACTCACCGAGGCACAAAAAGGCACAAAAAATTCTCAAAATTGCTGCAAAATCGACCCCAGTGTACGTTTGGAGGTGATCTGACAAGTGAATCCCCTTTCCTCTATTGATCTCCCAGGGACACATGCTCCTTTTCCCTTCAGGGGTCAGAGGTCGGCATTGTCTTTCTCCGGGGCGACTCATTTACCTAATGGAGAATGGGTCACTTTTCCAACCAGTGTCTCCATGTGTTCCACAATAGGAACTCTCGGAGGAGCAGTTTAATGGCTCGGCGAGGGGAGGGGAGAGGAGGGAAGGGGAGGGTTTCACCTTGATAGAAGGAGGTACGTTGATCTGCAGGACTCCAGGTGTGGGCGTGCTGCTTCGCCGTAGCCTTGATCTCACCTGCGCCGCCGGCCCATGTGTCAGTGAGCAGGAATGTGCTGCTTCCTGGTTGTTTTGCAGCGTCGTGCTAATCTGCATTTCTAGCTCTACTATTGTGGGTTCATTCATGACCTTGGGGATGCACGGAGCGGATCCTCTCGCTGTTCCCAGAGCTGTCAAGCGCTGCACATCCCACACGTGATTCCACCGGCCCTGGGAGCAGTTAACTGGGTCGACCTTAGAATATTTACAACCTCTTACGATTTTTCTTTTCCCCCCCCTGTGGAAATGTGTTTTTATTCCTGCTCCTTGCTCGTGCTGTTTTGACTCTAAGGTTGTAACTAAAAAAAAAAAGATTAATCCATTGTTTGATCTGTAATCGGTGACAACTCTGGTAATCCGTTAATTGTTTAAAGACCCCCTCTGGTGAGAATCAAGGTTGTTTTTTTTTCACCTTGTTAACATATGGTGTTTTCTTTCCCTGCTGGACGGCACGTCAAGGGCAAAATAAAGAGTCAAGACCACCGTAAAAGTCGTTGTGGTTGAGCTGGTGTGCTCGAGCTGCACCGAATATGGAGACATAAAAGCGAAGACCTCAGAAATCTCAACAAAGCTGCAGTGTAGAGTTCAGTCTAAGCTATTTTAAGGCAGTAAGGGGTTATTTTAAGGGAAAAAAGCTTCTAAATGCGTAAATATGATGCACAAAAATGAGGTTTTAGGGGTTAAATCAATGCTCAGAGGGGGACTTTAAGGTTTATTTAAAAAGGAAAATGCCAAAATTGACTGAATCTAGCTTGTGAATTTGTAAATTACTCCCAGTTTTTCATCTTGCGTACTAGTTTAGACTGTTGTTTGGCTCAAATAAGACATTTAAAGACTTGGACGTCACGTGACGATTTGTTTGCAGCTGAGTCACTTGTGGCTTCAGGGTTGCGATTAGGAGGACAGAAATTTCTAAAAAATGTACTTTTGGCAAATGAAAACAACATGATTTTGATGGAATTTCACATTTTTTAAGCTTCGTTTTGGTTCAGTTTCTCGATGGAGCTGTACGTAACACACAGCTAGTTCAAAGACCGTCAGAAAGTGGAAAATGTGACGATTTCTCTCAGTGTTTTACAGTTTCTAACTCTGATAAATGCTGTAATTTTGGCTATTTTTAAAAAAAGATAACATGCCCTTTAAATGTCACTGGCAGCTTTTGAGGTTCAGAGGGTTCGTGAGAATAATTACGGTGTAATTTACTCAATGAAAAGGGCCACATATCCAATAGAAACAAACTTTTTTTGTTCTTATCTGGTGATCCTCCTTTGCAGAACAGTTTTTTAAAATATTTTTGTTATGCAAACCCCAGTTTTAAGACCAGTGCATTCGTCTTCGTCATCAAATTGCTGATTGTCGGATCTGTTTTATATCCGCTGAGCGAATGTGTAAATCTTCACACCTAGATTATATAATATAAATGTGTTTATCCAGACCTTGTGTCGGGCATTTTAAAGTGTTGCTTGGCTTCTTTGGTGTCAAATATCATCTCAGTTTGAGCATATGTTAAAAAAAAAAGCTGTGCTAATTCCTCCCGATGAAAGGATTACAGCCAGATCACTAACTTCAGCATGAAGCTCTTCTCCGTTAGATGAACTTGGATACAGACGCTCTCCACATCCTGATTCCCATGCAGGGCCTGCCTCGCAAAACCCCCTCCTCCTCCTCCTCCTCCTCCTCCTCACAAACTCTTGGGAAACTTTCAACTAACGCCGGTTCAAAGGCTGGTTGAGAGGCCTCGGTCCCTCTGAGTTAAAGCCCCTCTGCTGGAAGCTCCCACAGTAGCGTCCTTTGTGCCTCTGTGACCAGCTCGCTCTGTATTCCGCTCTTGCACAACCAACTCCGTGTCCAACCCTCCCATCCTCTGTGTACCCGACCAAACTGCCGCTCTTTAGATTTAATCGGCGGTGAAATGGATCCCAAAAATTTTGCAAGGGGCGTGTTATTCGCTAAATCGATTTAATTTGTGATGGAAAACTCTCAGTGGGCTGTTTTTTGGGGGGGTGTTTTAGCTCCCGAATGAAGACTTGCAGGAGTATCAGGGTAATTGGCACCTGCTTGTTAGTGAATGATGAGGTAGAAGCTATAAAACCAGCTCCGGGGTTGACGCTTGTTTTGCTTTGAAGGGTGACACAGGCTAGAAGTGAGGGGAGTGGATATCCAAGCACCACTCAGAGAAGAAGAAGTAATGGAAATGTTTGTATTTTGCTCCGATGAGTCAGATTCTCTCTCCTGCTAATAAACAGCTTTCGTTTCAGGGGAAGTGGCGGCTAACGAACGTTCCCACAGGTGTAATGAGTAACCTGAATGCCAGGTCCCTTTTCATTGTCAGGTCACTTCCTTGGCCGGGCTCCAGTTTCAGCTTTTGTCGCCGAGGTGAGGAGAGATAATAACCCGTGTGTGCAGGTGGAGGGATTGGTAAGGATAGTGTTGCTGTTTTTATCCTCGACAGCTGACAGGAACCCCGGCGGATTCTGCAGAAAAGATATAATGTCAGTTTTGAAATTTAAAAAAATAAAAAAAAGTCTCAGGTAGAGGTGAAAGATGAACAGGGGGAAGCAGTGCAGAGGTAGTCAGCTGTTTTTCTATATGTAAGGTTACGCTTTCTTGGCTGGTGTGCTGTTTATTCTCAAAGTCTCGTTTTACCGAGTTTGCTTTCTCGCCGAGGTCGGAGGTCGGTTTCAGAGCGACTCCCCTGGAGCTCGGAGGCATTCGCTGGGCCTCCTCCTGCAGACTATCTGGCTCATTTGAGGACTGAAAGCTCTGCAGTTTTCTTAACTGATAATCAGCAGTATTGCCATTTAGTACTTATTAGTTAGTTATTTGTTATTTGATATTACTTGTCGGGTGGATGTTGCTCCACATGCTGGCATTTCTGTTTTGGTCACTAAAGCAGCTCATTTATATTTGAGTGTGGGGTTAACATTCATCTAGCAGTTCAGTAGGTGAGCTCTGGATGGAGGCCGTTAATCATCATGGAAGTCTTTGTCATGGTGGTCCACTGCGAACGAAACACAAACACTGCTCTCTGCTCGTACCAAACGACTGCCACCTCATGTCCCTACAGTTAAATAGTAAAAGGCTCCCACAGCTTTTCACTTTCTGACATGCAAGTCCTTCATTGTTGGTTAATATATTTTCAATCGGTTAAATTGTCAACAGCAACTAGCAGATTAACCGTTATCTGTAACTAACAATTCTTTTCAAAGTTGGTTAATTCGCTGGTTAATTTCTTGAAATTAAACTCATCTGATCTGTTAAGTACAAGAAAAAATAGTCAAAACCGCCCTAATGCACAAAATGATATCTTGAAATTGTTGTTTTTGGTCCAACAAAGAGTGCAGCGTCTTAAGTTATTATTTTTTTTGTGGACTTGAAGCTCAGCAAGTAGGGATGCAAATTATGAATAATATTCTTAACCAATAATCTGCATCAATGCCAATCAATACCTGATGTTAACTTAATATCACTAGAATTCGTTTAATACTTGAGCTCAGGCTAGAGGCCGTTAAGCATCACAGAAGCCTTTGTCGTGCTGCCCGTTGCTACCTAAATACCCACAATGCTCTCTGCTTGCAAACATGGGGCAACTGCTTCCTTGTGGCTCAACCAGGCATACAGCTAATCTACATTATGTTTACTGCAAATCCAAAGATTTTTATTGTATCTGTGCAGATTAATCTTCTTAGTTGTTTGGGCTCTATTCTGTAGGCTTAACGTGCACTGTATCCTCAAAGTAGATTCTAGTTCCCAGAGTCTCCACCATCGTGTCATTGTACTTCCTGTCTTAGTACGACCACTAATTATACATCAGTTGTACTCTCCAGATTTGGCCAAAGGAAAGCTGTATTTTTCAGGCGCATTTGGAGGACACACTGGAATGGTACACCCCCGTCGACTTGATGACACGCTGGAGCTGCTCTTGAAATCCAGACCTGGACATTCAGAGTGAAACTCCCTTACTGAGGGTGGATGCTTGCCTTCATACAGTCTTTGATGTGCGGTCAGTCACCTCTGCTAACTGCACCGCCCATTTGCCCCTAAATATTTACAGCAGTCTGTTTATGTGGATGCAGAGTTGCCGGTAAAGAGGGATAATTTTCCGCTGTGGCTCGGCCCGTGGGGGATTTTTAAGGTTGATATTTGGGAGTTAAATAGCAATATGTCAACCGAAAACATACACAAAGATTCTTGGGAAGGAATCCTCTTTCTAAATATCTTTACTCATTGATGTTTCTTATTTCAGCTGACACATTAATACGATGTATTTGCAGCAAGCTAGGATTGATGCAGAGCTGCCTGAAACTGCCAGTAGGGGGCAACTCCTCTGATTGCAAAAATAAGTCTGATGCTAAAGATGAGAAAATGACCCTTCTTCTCACTTGATTTGCTTCCTTGCTAAACATTTCCCTAATGACTTAATGGTTTCAATTGCTAGTTTTAAGTCTCCTTCAATACAGCATGATGCTCATTTTTGTAAATTATGCTCCCATCTTGAGTAAACCAATCGAGACAGCAAGGTAAGCATTTGTGATTGACAGGCTGATACTGTATCGATGTGTTTAATCCAAACTTGAGACTTCAGAATGGTAGTCCAAGAACCTATACAGTCTGGTTTGGGGCTGTAATTCACCATCAAACATGTATTTTGTGTTGTTTTGGAAGAGGATGCATGCTGCTAATGCGAAGAAAGTTGATTTTAACTTGTTAGCAAGCATGACTGGTCCCTTGTGACATATTGATTTATTGGTTTATTGATACGAAAAGCCACTGCACTGAGAGAAAGCAGAATTTCCATTTGGGTTGGCTGACTTATTTTTCCGGGGCTGATACTGATATCAATAATAGGTAATCAAGGAGGCTGATAGCTGATATATGAACCAATATGCATTTGGTGTAAGAAAATTAAAATCTTAGAGTCAAAATTCAGAATACTTTAATTTGTTTAATTTAAAGAAATCTTCAGCGCTGATTGGTTAAACATCAACAGCAATAGCCTATCGGATGCTGCTGTGGGCGGGACATTGCTTTACAGATAGAATTATTTATTTTAAGTTAAATATCACATCCAGTGGGCTGATAAGCACCCCGGCAGCTAATTTTCATCTCACAGAAAGCGAAGAAAAATGGATCTGACTGCTGTAATTTCCACTGGCCCGTGCACTCAGACACACTAACTGAGGAATGCTGCAGACGGCGGATTACTGATTGTGTCGGTGTGTTGGTGCGGCAGCGTGTAAACTCCTCGTCCCGGCTTTGCCCCCTGACTGTCTTCTGAAACATTCCTCAGCCGTGATGTCACCGACAGTCTGAGGGGATATTTATTGTCTGAGGTTGAGGTTTATCAAGTGTGGGATGGAGGTAGGGGAGGGGAGGCGCTGAAAAGTTTGTGTGTTGGAGGTTGGGGGGGGGTGGTTGTCGAGCGTCTTTGTGCGCTCTCAGACCGTATCTCACGCGCCCTACTTGCTTTGATTCAAGTCTGAACTGGCCTCAAACGCAGCTCCGTGTTTCGGCTCGTGGCAGTAAATCCCACCTGCATGCGGTGCAGCTGGAACGAGTGAGTGTCTAGCAAGGTGTGAGACATGTCTGTCTGCTGCTTCGTGCATCTGGCCAAACTCTACATTCACCCCTGCTTGCGGTTTATACACTCATTTCAGCATCCCGACTAATAAAAGAAATCCCCACTGAAAAACTCACTGACTTAATGTCTTGTGGTTTTTTAACGCTGCACAAGCCAGTTTAACAAATAAATGTGGGAAGATGCTTCGTACATGTCTTGGACTAATTAGGGATTGGAGTTTCCCCGTTAAGCAAAGTTTCCTCTATTGAACCCCCCTTTAAACGAGGTAAATGGTGTATTTATAGTCACATTTAGCGCCGTGTTTATCCTCATTCAGAGGTTGATGGAGCATCTCTTCACATTCGAGCAGTTGGCGTGGGTTTCCTAAAATGTCAGCGCAGTTTTTGGTTTATCAAACACCCACAAAAAGCATTTGAGATGCCTATAAAAGGAATATCGGAAGGAAAATTGTGTATACAAATTCACCACGGGATGTGACGTCAGTGGGCTATTTATAATGATGCTGGAGCTTGGATGCTGGAGGAAATGCCTGATCCCTCCTGTTTCAAACAGCCTAGTGTGTATTTAGGAAGCCTAAAATCAAGAATACCCCAAATCACAGACTGGAAGAGCTTTTCTGGCTTGAAAAAGAAGAGACCCCAGTTGTTGAGAATATCTCTTTCCTTTCTCCGCCAGACGTGAACTGAGGTCCCTGCAGCTCTACAGCCCGCTACTGTGCCGTCTGCCACCATGGTGGAACCAGCCGACAGGCCGTCCACAGCCGGACAGAGGCTGGGCGCCCCGGAGAGCTTCGGGGTGTCCACCCTGGAGCCCGGCCTGCGTCCTCCAGCGCAGCCTCCGGGCCGACAAGTCTCCATACGGGTGCAGATGCTCGATGACACACAGGAAGTCTTCCAGATATCGGTAAGTGATGCCATTTGGGGAATGTGTTGATGTTTTTTCATGAAGTACGTGAGTTGGTTACATAAATCACTGGTACAGTGTGCTCATGGCGTAAGCAGAATAAGTTATTTGTAGCTTCTCCTTTGTCCATTGGTAATATGTGGCGTGAGTGTAGTTGTTTTCTATGCAAAGCGAAACCAAACCGTATCCTGTTTGACTGAGTTTTCTTGTGCAGCAGTTTCTTCTACCACATTTGGATCCCTTCCTTTAAGGTGCACATTTGTGATTTCACCATGGACCTCAAATTTGCACAGAAAACAAACATTAAATTCAGTGTCCAACTCACTCAACCTTTATGTAGAGGATCATCCCTGGTGATTTATTCTGGGTCTACGACTGAGATCCAAATGGCTGTAGTTTGGCGCATCAGGTCTGCAAGGCGACCAAGAACATGCTAATCTGGTGTCTGAACATTCGGCACCAATGACCATGAATGTGGCTCGTTCCATTGCATGTTGCCACGGTAACAACACCAGTTATCTGTTTGCTTGTTTCTCCTCCGCAAAATGAAGTTCAAGTTGAAGTGTCGCCGTTTTGACACAGTAGAGAAGATCCAGTTGATAGAACAGGACCTCCAGGGAGCAGTCTAAATGCAGCAGGAGCACTGGGAGCAGTGTATCGCTGCACAGGAAGGCTGCTTTTGAAGGGGATGGTAGCTAACTTTAAATAGATGGTTTTTGCGTTTTATGGGTGCAATCTCTTCTCGTTCATTGGTCGTTCGTTCGTGACATGTTATTGGAGTGACACCTAGCAGCAGATGGTTGAACAGTTTTCACCTGATTCTTCATTGCATCTGTTCTAAGGCCGCCGTTGCTGCCAGTTACTCCAGAAACCTCTTGGCTTTCACACACTACTTGGGATCCTGTCCAGTTATGAACTGGCATATCTGACACCTTCAGGATCGTAATAAACTAGACGTACCATCGTAAATCATGATGAGGATTAATAAAAACCAAAAATGCAATAAATCCACATGTGAAGCTAATGACGCACTCTGGGTGGCACGGTGGTTGGCTTAAAGTTCCTTCCCGCGTCGGTGTTTATTCCTGTATAAATCACAGAAATCCATCATTGAACACACCTTCATGTTCGACTGAAACCTGTTGGATAACATTGATACGGCACCGAAGCTTTGGCAGCATGCAATAGAAGCAGTTCTTGAGTGACAGCGTTGCCTTCGGGGCTCGGATGAGATGTTGAATTCGCCGTGTTCTCATGTTTGATGTCGAAGGCCGTGTTTGTTTTGTTCCTCTTGCTTTCAGTCTTACATTAATAACTGACGCTTCCTCAGTCCTTCTGCAGCTCCAAGAGGATGCCTCCACATGTCACCTTGAGTCTTATCTCAGATCTGTGTATCTCCAGGAAGCGGGAGAGAAGGCAGCTTCCCGTCTAAACGTGCCCCACCTACCGACCCCTGATCCTGCTTTACACGCAGAAACGCTCTCCGGCCTTCCTTCTGTTTTCTGGTTTTATCTCTGTTTCTGCTTCCCGAGCTCAGATTTAATTCACCGAGCCCCCACGGCGCCACATATCTCTGCTCCTGTGCCATGTACATAATAGGTGTCCCTCCATCTGTCACTTATCTGTCCACATATAACTGTACGTTCTTTGCATATTCCAGTCTGAGCGGGCCTCCGAAGCATTTGCATGTGTTTTGAATTTCTATTTGTCAAGAGTGTGCGCCTACTGGAGCTCCCTGACTTCCTAATGCTGTTTAGAGAAAGGAGTCCTCTGAGACGCCGCTCTGCCAGCAGCTTTAATGACATCGGTGCTGCGGAGCTTTGGTATGTCATCTCTGGGTGGAGGGAGAGGAGGAGGGGGAGGACGAATTTCTGAATTAATGCGAGGCTGCAAGCTTGCAAAGAGTTTTCTTTCTCTGCGATTTGCACGCCTTTTCAGACGACCCAGCTGCTGTATTGTCAGCTTATATTTTGGGGAGTTTTGGGCTTTTTTTTGTGATGATAATTAAAGTGAGAAAGAATCCTCTCTCTCAGCTGGCTTGTCGAACTTCCAGAGCTGCCGGTCCGGGGAGCGGTAATTGGCTCTCGCGAAAATGCCAAGAATGTGTGCGGTCGTTATTGGAGTGTCGCTGCCTGAGGATGTGTCTGTGGCCGAGTGGACGGTTTGACAGGATTCGGTGTCGTCTGCATGAGCGTTTCTCCAAATTTTCAACCGACGTCCCTCATAAATTGGTGTCAGAATGCAGAGCAGCAGCATTCCTCATGATGGGATCTCTTCCTCCTTATCTTTCTCTGTCCTCTTTCACCATCATCATCACTCTGGAACACGCTCGACCGCAGGAACATATCAGCAGCACGATCCCACAATGCGTCCCTTAGGTTATTTGTTTGCTGTAACCAAAATGAAAGCGGAATGGCATTGTAAGTAATGACAGTTGTTTTCAGCGCTTATTCCAGATGCAGGGGGAACTAAGGGAGCCATTGTGTATCCAGCTTGACTCACCTAATCTGTCTTTTCCTGCTACAATGCCTCGCAGTGTATTTGTGCAGTAGGTGTAGTCTAACGTGTGAATCAAGAGATAAGCCCGCAGGCTCACGCCGACGTTGGCACTCGATTGGGCATTTTCTCACCAGCAGAAGGCTCAGTCATTAACCAGCCTGTTATCTTGAAACCTCAGCCAGGCTTCTGTGGAATAGGGGTAGTAAATTTTAAAGCTCCAAAACAGTTTTTTTTTTTTTTATCCTAGAAGTAACAAATGTTGGCATACCGAGGTAGTGTCGTCATGTTTCCTGGAGCTTTTATAGTTGATTTTTGGATTTCAATCTGTGTTATTGTAAGTTTAAAAGACTTGAGTGACAAATTACAAGAAAGTACATTTGATCTTAGACCCGCTGATCCTTTATTTTGGGTTCAGGAAAGCTCCCAGTGGCTTTTTCTTTACACAAATACAACATCACAGTTAAGTCTTACCTGTATTTTTCTTACATCACGTTCATCCCCTGCATTGCTTTTTATTTCTACAGTTGTTTACTAGAAGTTCACAGTTGTCTTTCTCTGCTTTTATCAGTCCGTGTAAAACATGTTGATATTATGCTGCTTCTGCTTTATCACATTTATTATGGAGGACGTGCAGGTTGGGATGAGTATCAGCCAGACAGACCTCACCAAAAACACAACAACACGGATTGTTTAAGAGAGTTTCAGTCAATGGATGCTGATGGTGGTGGTTGACTGAATAAGTGCATGTAAAATCTTTCAGCTTTCTGAGAGACCTCTGGGGCGAAAGTCTTACTAAGCAAATGGAGTAGAAGCTTGTTAATGTAGATATTACCATAAACCATGGTGTTTTCCTAAATCTAACTC